CTTGTTATATTAAAAAATTAATAATTCAAGTACAATAATTGCACTTGGAATCAGAATTCAAGATTATCTGAGGATTCGTAATATTTCATCCAATATCATAAATATCTGTTGATTTCGAAAGCATGGAAATCTGTAACTATTTTCCAAGTGTGGCAAAATGACGTGAAGGTGACATTTATTCAATTTTTGAAGTTCTTTTCGATTTCAACATTGACAATTGAAATAAAAATCATTGTAGTATTATACAGACCTCGATCATTTTTTCATATCAACTATTTATGAATGTGTCGACTATCACTTTAGTGAAATAAGTGCACAAAACCGAGAAAAATTAGACAATGTTTTCGCCAAAAATCAACAAACCACTTGTATATTGGAATACGTGATCTGAATTCACTTCACTGTCTCCTAGTTCAGGTTGCAGAATGTCCGTTTTATTAGGAAACACCCAGAATATTATTTTTTCCTTTACCAGTAAATGTGAATATTTTAGTTGGCAACATTGACAGTCGCTATGCGGAAACGATTATATACATATACCTCCAATATGGGACCAATATCTCAGTAAAACGGTAACGATAAAAATCCTCTTGTGGAAAAAGTCCAAGTAGTCGGTTTCTTCACGGTTTGATATGTTTTTGGGGGTGCTGAATCCGAATCTGAGCTTTACAAACAAAATTTCCCGGAGCGTTCCGAGATATTCGCAAAAAACAGCGATATTTTCGTACTTTTTCAATTTTTTTTATCGAAAAAAACACCGTATAGATCGAGAGTTGAAGTAGATAAAATTGTCTATATACAGGGTCCGGACGATTTAATAGGGACAGTATTGCTACTCCCAAACGGTAAGAGATAGAAAGTTGAAATTGTTGAATTGAAATTTAGACAGTTGCGTAATTTGAACCTCATCAAATTATGTAATTACTCATGACGAAGAAGTTGGAATTGTCAGAAACATTTTATCATCAATTTTTCTGAAGATTCACCATGCAACCTGTGTTTTTCTTATGGGCACCATATTTGTTTTTCATACCATTGAATAGGGTAAAAAATTCCCTTCACAGCCATGTATAACTTACATAATCGCATGAAACAGCACCAAAAACAGTAAAAACTATTTTTTACTGAAAATAGTAATTGTTTTATTAGGATCAAAAGTGGCACTTTGTTTGACAAGCGAATTTTGCATTTGCGAGGCGGAGCGTTTAGCGGAGCCGAGCGAAAGCAAAATTTGCGAGTCGAACAAAGTCACTTTTGATCCGAATGAAACATGCTATTTTTTTTGCAACCGAAACAATTAACTGAATTAACTCAAATAGTAACCACCAATGCCGTGCCATATTTATGCAATGCAACAAATATTGACAAATAATCCATGTGGTAAGAATATTCTACTCTACTGCATTAACAGCAGGTTAGGTTTTCAAGGATGTTCGAATTGTAGTTTCTATATGAATACAACCACAGAGTGACATATATTTGTGTATGGACCAGGTGCTCTAATCGCAAATAATAACGAATGAAATAACAGATCAAGCAAGTATTTGAATCTTAAAGGCTTCCCCTGATCAAACAAAAATACTTAGCTGAGATAATTAAGAGAACAAACTCAAAGTCTCGCTCCAAGTAAATTATAATCAAATCATATATGCTACATGTTTCGACTTCTAGGAGTCATCATCAGGCTAAAATACAACACTTATAAATAAAAGGAGTTCCATCAATATTGGAAAATGGGTGACATACCTTGCTAGGTAGGAGGAGAAAAGAAACTATAAAATTGACGACATAGTTCGTAAGGGTTTTAGGCCGCAAATATTTTTAAAAAACATTTTTGAATTTTGGTTTTTTGAACTCCCAAATAAACATTTTTCCTAAGATGCTTCTAACAAACATAGTGCACAGAAAATGGCGTAAGTATGAAGTGAGATGGTTATAATTCCAATACTAAACTATAATAAGGTGTATTTATATCTCCAGCATTGGTATGGAATGCCAAATCTGCTGAAATCGGAAACAAATCAGGTATGCGGCTCAACCCAAATAACCAACCGTCACAATGTTGTTTATTCTTGATGACGTCCAGTACATCCTTTTTAGTTCCTAGGAGCTAAAATTCAACTTTAGCTCCTAGGAACTAAAATTCAACTTTAGCTCCTAGGAACTAAATATGTTGCCTAGCAACATACCTATTTTTGTGTCAGTAATAGAAACGTCAATTTAAGAGCTAATTTTGGTATCAAAATGGACGAGTTTTGTGTCGGTTGCAGAAAAACTATTTTTTACTGGTTATCACTGCTTAAAATTGAACTGCTCTACATTTTCTAATGTGGTTGGCCCATGATAATAAGAAAACAAAATATTAGTTGTCATGACTACAGCATTTATACTTCTAAAGTCATCTATGACACGCTTCATCAATATGGAAAAAGGAGAAAAGGGCAGAAAAAAACAAGACATCATTTTTTCGTTGAATAAACAAGATACAATTACCCCAAATTCATTTGCTTTGGAATAAAATCTGAAATTAAATTCAGTGTTTTCGAATATAGGGTGGTAAAAACATCAGATCCGCAATTTCATTGTTGAATGGTTTTAGAATCATTGATTATTCTATGCTGAACCTTATCCATTCAGCTTTCAGAAGGTGCAAAAAAAAGCAAAATAAAATTGCACCCGATATGTTCGAATTCAAGAGCAATGATTAATCTCACAAACATTTCCCAAACAATACTTCCGTACATGAAGAAGACGGCTTTGAAATATTGGGTTGAGATTTATATCATACAGTCTACTTGATTATAAATCAATTCAAATTCATCTCAAATTCATAGTAACACACACTGTAAAACTGATATTTATCATCCTCGTCTTCAAAGGGGTTAGGTAGATCTTCAACAATCTCAACATCCATGAAAATTTAAACGTCAAGAAAATCCTAGGTCCCATCAGAAGTCTAGTATTATAGAAGACAATTAGATGATGGTAATCCTCACAATCTACAACTTGAACGTCGCTACATCGTCGTTTGGTGGGGGGGGTGGTATCCTGAAGGATCCGGTCCTGGAGGTGGTGATGTTGCAGGTGGAGCAGATTGTTTTTTTCTCCGCTAACCAATAATAATCGGCAGGTGTGAAAAACATTATTCTGTCTAGTTGATGTGAATATACTTAGCTAAGTACTGTGAAAAATAAAGAATCGAGTTACACGCTGCTGAGCAATAACTCACCTGGCCAGGAATCCTCCACACCAGGCAGTGTATTCTGTTTCTTCTAGAAATGCGTAGATTATGAATTATCTACGAGAGCCGAGGAAGAACACTAGGGGTATTCCCGGTCCCTGTATAATGCTTCGTATTATCGTATTTTCGTATCGTCGTATTCAGCAAACTAATCTGATTGGTCGATTAGGATACGCGGTCCTTCGTAACTTTACACTACCATTTTCTTGTGTAAGATTACAAAATTGCCGTTCTTACGAAACTGTTCTGACAGAATTTTGTCCCGTGTCCCGTGTTTCAAGTGGTGAGGTTAGGGTTATTGTTATTATTCAAAATTATGATTAACGAATTTTTATTGTTTGAGCTGCGTGGCCTGAGCATAAAGCACAATATAAATACCTCTGATTATTGTAACTAATCTCTGGTGTTGAGAATTTTGATTTGGATAAAGGTATTTTAAAAATGGCAAGAATATTTGAAATTGAAATTATTGAAATTGTATTTTCAGTAATACAGTTCTAGCTCTGTTTCCAGGACAGATGATGAATTAGAATTTTTCAATTTCGCACTGGCACTGGAAGCTTCGGAATAAGCTGACAGTGTACATTGCTATCCATGGGTCGTTCCCGTGTTTGAGGTTTCGTAACAATACGTAGGCCATTTTCGTAAATATACGAAGTCAGATACGAGGACTCCGGAATACCCCTATATATTTTACAAAATACGCAAATTTGGTATATTTTTAACTTGCTCTAGCTCCTCACCCGTTAGTCCTACATCCATGAGCAATAACAATTATAAATACCTATTAAATTTCATCTACTTCGAATTTTCATAGGGTGGTCTTTTCGCTAAAATTTATAGTTGCGAGAATTTCGCTGTTGGAAATGTTGTTTGCAAACTTCAGATTCAGATTCAGCACCCCCGAAATCATATAAAACCGTAGACGAACCGACTACTATTAAGGAATCCTACCATTTCATTGCATTCGTTGGAGTCCATTATTAAGTACCCCGAATTCTTCAACTTCCAATACTGATTTCAACTCATGATTTTTAATTGTATATGAATAATTGAATTTATTCATGTGTCTGGTATATTATAGAATAATCAAAGACGGTTCAAATTTTCTTGTATTTTTCTGCAGTCGCTTTATATCCTTTACAAAGTTTCAAGTCCTCTAAGTAGAATGGAACAGAATGCGAGACTTAATTATTCTCTTTACATAAAGTATGAAGAATAATGTACCTAAGTGAGTGTTACCACCTGTGTCCTGCCACGTCCTGTTAAGACCAAATCCATGGCAATAGGAATCTGCTAACTAGGGGCGTATTTACCGCCGTATTAGCCGTATTAATGACGCGGGGGCCCCGGGCTACAGAGGCCCCGGCTTGTGTAATCAAAAATAAGTAAAATGTTATTGACAATCTTATACTCATACTATTAGGCCATATATAGCTGAAGACATTAATGCTTCAATGTTTCCGTCATTTTCAAAACTGCACTGACTTCGCACGACCTATTAGAGCTCGTGCGAGAATTGTTGCACTGAGCTCTAAACTATGTAAACCAGTTTTGGAATACAAAATATGCACTCAGTGCGAGCCAGTTTTACCAATGGAATTCGCTATAGGTGGTCTATTCAGTAACTTATCGTTAGAATACGATATCGTTACCTTAACGATACATTGCCATCTCAGGCATTGATGTTACCGACTGTACGCTAAACTCAATAAACGGGCGTTCAAAAGTTGACAATAGAATAGAATTTATTCATACCGCCACAGCTACCACCATAGGTGGATAAATATGTCAAAGTACAGGTACAAGTCTGAAATACAATACATCTCAGTACACAAATTTTAAATTTACAAAACAATAGCCACTGGATGTCTCAGATTTCCAGTGACAAACGAATAATCTGAGAGGCTTTCCATTTAGAAGGAAAGATACAATTCTGAAAAGATAAATTATAAATATATATGTCATTATGGAGAGAATAATTCAAAGAAATAAAAAATATAGGGTGTTCCATTTGTGGCATATCTCCAAAACCATACCCCAAAAAAAATTGAGTACGCCACTGGATGCTCCGCAAAATTCTCCGTGAGAAAGTAGTTCTGAGCACAAAATTATTCCTAACTTCGTATATACTGGGTAATTCAAATTAGATGGCACATTTACATCGCCACTTTTTTCTTGCTATATGATGACATTTTCAAATTCACTATCTGACGTTTCTTCTATGTGCCACCATCATAACCTTAATTTTTTCTTATGGGCGTTACATTGGATTTTCATCAATATTAACAGCATGCTGGAACTGAAAATGGCATCATACTGCAGGAAGAAAGTGGCAATGTGAATGTGCTCTCAATTTTGATGTTCTCCAGCAAATAACACCAGAAAAAAAAAGAAAATGATTCACTAAAATGTCCAAATACTGGAAATTTGAAAATCTTCTCAACGGCATATTTTTAGTCACATATATGCGCAACATTGCTCTAAGACCCCAATAAACTTAGCAGAACCACTTCAATATTTCTGATTTGCAATAGTACTATAATTTGTTACTAATTTAGTACTAATTTATTATCATATTCGCAAATTTATTACCCTTCATTAAACAGAAAAAACCAACGGCTCTGCTAGATTTATGTCAACTTAGCAGAACCATAGCTGAAAATTTAATATTTTGAAAATTTCAAATATACGACGATTCAACTGAATTTCAAAAAACATGTGATTTGAGTTTTGGTTCTGCTAGGTGAGATCGAGATAGACAAATAGGCGTTTTTTCCTTGAAATGAAGAAATAATGAGTAAAAGATTCGTGATTTTGGTCGTAATTTAGTAATAAAATAGTTATAAATTATGGTGTATTTGAAGTTTTCGAAATAGAAATTTTTCAGCTATGGTTCTGTTAGAGTTGATATAAAGTTAGCAGAACCGTCGATTTTGCCTATTGTATGAATTGTTAGAATTTTGCGAATGTGACAATAAATTAGTAATGAATAAGTAACTTATTGATGATTCAACAGTTTCAAGAAACATGTGATTTGAGTTTTGGTTCTGTTAGGTTGATATCGAGATAGACAAATCGGCGTTTTGTTTTTTCTTGAAATGATTAGTAAATGATTCGTGATTATAGTAAAATTATAAGTTAGTAATAAAATGGTAAAAAACTATGGTATATTAGAAGTTTTCAAAATGATGAATTTTTAGATATGGTTCTGCTATGATGACATAAAGATAGCAGAGCCGTTGATTTTGCCTTTTGAATAAAGTGTTATAATTTTGCGAATGTGGTAATGAATTAGTAATAAATTAGTAACTCATTGATAATTCAATAGAATTTCAAACAACATGATTGTGATTTGAGTTTCGGTTCTGCTAGGTTGAGATCAAGATAGACAAATAGGTGTTTTTTCCTTGGGATCATGAGTAAAAAATTCGTGATTTTGGTCGTAAATTGGTAATAAAATAGTTATAAATTATGGTATATTTGAAGTTTTCAAAATAGAAATTTTTTAGCTATGGTTCTGTTAGAGTTGATATAAAGTTAGCAGAACCGTCGATTATGCCTATTGTATGAATTGTTAGAATTTTGCGAATGTGAGAATGAACTAGTAATGAATTAGTAACTTATTGATGATTCAACAATTTCAAAAACCATGTGATTTGAGTTTTGGTTCTGTTAGGTTGATATCGAGATAGACTAAAGGGCGTTTTTTTTTCTTGAAATGATTAGTAAAAAATTCGTGATTATAGTAAAATTATAAGTTAGTTATAAAATGGTAAAAAACTATGGTATATTAGAAGTTTTCAAAAAAATAATTGTTTAGCTATGGCTCTGCTAGGTTGACAGCAAGCTAGAAGAGCCGTTGGTTTTCCCTATTGAATGAAATGTTAGAAATTTGCGAATGTGGTAATAAATTAGTAATGAATTAGTAACTTATCGATGATACAACAGAATTTCAAAAAGCATGTGATTTGAGTTTTGGTTCTGCCAGGTTGAGATCGAGATAGACAAATCGTCGTTGTTTTCTCTGAATGATGAGTAAAAAATTCGTGATTATAGTTATAAGTTAGTAATAAAATAGTTATAGATTATGGTATATATAAAATTTTCAAAACATTAAATTTTCAGCTATGGTTCTGCTAGGTTGACATAAAGCTAGCAGAGCCGTTGGTTTTTTCTGTTTAATGAAGAGTAATAAATTTACGAATATGATAATAAATCAGTACTAAATTAGTAACACATTATAGTAAGTACTATTGCAAATCCGAAATATTGAAGTGGTTCTGCTAAGTTTATTGGGGTTGCTCTAAGTTAACTATCTTCTCATCTCCTATAGTTTCCCATTACTGATGACCAATGTTCAAGTTGGAGAAAGCCACAATCTTTGAAAACCATTTTGGGAAAATATGGACTGAAGAATATTTACCAACACCAACTTGAAAAATGAAAAAGAAAAAAGTTGGGAAACCAAGATTATTGTTGGTATATTGTTATTATTGTCGAAGACGACTAGCCCCGAAAAAAAAATTGGAAAAACTAGAAACTGTTTCTCCTGAAATTTGAAGCTCTGCAGGGGAATATTTGAAATAATGATCGGAAATGGTAACTTTTACCATAGGAAGGGTTTCTTAGTGTCTTTTTCGATTTGAATAACATGACCCTGTGGTCCCTGTGTTAATATTATTTTGTGTTTCCTATCCTATAATAGTGGAGGATTATAGTGACATTGAAATTATCAGTACAGTATTATAAATCAGACATTACACTAAATTAGAATTATTCTGAAAAGACGACCAAACACCCTATATCTTCCTTATGAATAGCCAAAAAAACAGAATATTTACTTGTCTCACCCATACAATGAGGCCTTTCCCATCCCGTATCAGAAGTTTTACAGGGTGATCCCCGAGGTGATCCCTACAAATGTAACATACCACAGTTTTTCCAATGAAACACCTGTTTTAAATCTTTTTTTCCGGAATTTTTGATTTTTTTGATTACAAAATATATAAATACAGTATGTTTTTTTCTATTTTCACTTCATCATTACCACTCTTTTGACCCCAAAAAACATTTTTGTCTGATCAATTGGTGATCACTCTCAGTTTGGGAATGTACTTGATAATGATGTATCCATCCATGGCTAACAGGATGTGTATATGTCAACCCACAAAAATTGTTTTTCTGGGGCCAAAACAGTGATGATTATCAAGTGAAAATAGAAGATGTCATACTGTATAATAATAAATATCTTTTGGTGATCACAAGAAATCACAGATTCCAAAAAATATATAAAAACAAGGTAATCCATTAAAAAAATAACTTGTGGTTAGTCACGCTTTTAGGGATCACCCTGTAAAACTTCTGATCAGGGCTGTGGAAAGTCCTCATCTTGGCATAATCAACTTCCCTGTATTGTTTTTTCTGGATCAAAAATAACATGAATAAAAGGGTGGACCTTTTCTACTAAATGAAAATATCTATATTTTGTTACTGCTGTTACTGAAAATGAATCTTCAAGATAGTCCTGGCAGCTGACAGGTATTGTTGAAGTGAAAGGTAAGTAGGATCTAGGATGTAGGTTAATTCCTATAATACTTATTGTTGACTGGATGTTTTCAAATTATTTGTGTCTTGTGATAATACTGGCTGATATTTTGGGTAACTGGTGATATTGGCATAATATTTTGGGATAGGTATCATTGCATCATTTCATCCTCCATTTCTTCAATGAAAAATTCAAATATCAAACATTCAATAATATATTATTCCTTGAAACCATTTGATTTTTGAGAAACTTTTCATTTATCCACTTGGACTGTTTCTGGTTCAGGCAGGAGCATATTTTGAATTTTCTCATTCAAAATACTTTGTAGTAGAGACAAGTCATACTGAAACAAGTATTTTCAGTAGTTTGATAATCAAGGGAATCAAGAGAAACAAAATATGAGTTTTTCTTACTTGAAGAACATGTACTCCTCTCATTGATAAAACTACCAAATCTTTTACTCCATCTCCTGTTATATCTATATATTTTATTCCAAGAATAGGTGCTGAAAATGTTTTTATTTCTTCCAAGCACCAGCCTTTCTCCTTATTTTTCTCATACAACATGATCTCCTGAAAATGTATAAAATCAAACAATCTGCCTTCCAGAAATTTTCTACTTTTCATTTACTTTTGTGCTATTGCCAATCAAAATACTCTTCATTCCATTGAAACCTATATCTGCTACTTCACAACTTGTTAATACACTAGTAGAATCAATCCTTGGCAATGTTGCATAGTTACTAAGACCATACTGTAGTACATCACTGAAAAAATCATTCTCATTCCTTTTCAATACTCATTCATTATATTGCAATTATCAGAATGCTTACTGAAACACTACTGCTGGTAGAATTGTATTAACAACAACCAAATTGAGGACCTCTGTTCTTTCTGGGTCTGGTTTGTGTTCCTTCATAAAATTGCCTTTTTGGAAGGTATAAGTTGTTCTGGGATTATGCTCAGGAAAAAGTAGGACTTTGGAGATATAATTACCAAATCTGGTAGATAAATCATAGACCACTTTGTTGGATTTTACATTAACCTTGAATAATTTTACATACCCACACTCACAGGCAAATGAACTAACTCGGCTAGAAATTATATATTGTATTGAAGACTTAAAATGATACTAGTTAACTCACTCCACAAAATCTCCTGTGTAATGAATATCAATCCAGATAATAGGACTAGGGGTTTTTGAAAATTCAGGAAAGTGCTCTTTGTTATCAATTTCCTTATAAATATGATCAGCAATGTTTTCTCTGTATACATGAACTTGATTATCACTGCCAGATAAAATAAAAACAATCTGTAAATATATTTCCAATTGCAAAAACCATATAGCTTAATTGATAGTGGGAATTCAATAATTCATACCTCTTTGCTCACTATTTGATCATCTTTCCATCCTATCAAGTAGGTGTGGAGAAGTTTGTATGGAATGAAACTGAGTTCAACATTGAGACAACTTTGTGCTATATTTTCAATGTTGAAATCATCTGCTTCTTCACCAGAATAAATGTTCAAGTATGTTTCCAGGTGACCTTCTGTATCATTACTGTTCTAAAATAATACCAAATAAAACAATGGCCATCTACATCCAAAAAATAACATTCAACTCTCATATTTACCTTAATAATGGTAATTCCAATTACAAATTCATTAGTAGTTGTTGATTTGTTGAAGGCATCTATTGAAATTATCTCAGCTCCATCTGAAAAGAAGATACTGTTCAAAGGTAGAGACAATGCAGAAATCGGCAGAAATGAACATTGTGAGGTGAATTCCATATATTTAACTCACTTGGTATGTAAGTGAAAGAAATTTCTTTGGTAGTAGGTATTAATGAACCTGTTGGCGATTCTTGGAATTCAAAACAAAATATTTCCCTCTTCAAAGAAGCAACAAGAACTTTGGTAGCGCCATTCATCAATTGTATCTCCGTTTTTGTATACACGTTAGCTTGGGAAGGTGTGTAGAAAAACTGGACATCTCTGAACTGTTCCATATGCAAATATCAAATAATAAAAATGGAACTATTGGAACATTCAAATTCAAATAACATAAATCTCCCCGTTTGCAAAAACACCCCTTTTAGGTTAGGGTTAGGATAAAAAAAAGGTTCCGTCTACACAACCGCCGCGGCGGTTGGATACTGATCACTACATAAACTACTACCGGCGGTTACTTATTACCAGCGAATCTTTCAAACCTCAAGGTTATGAGAAGGTTATTCGTATTCGTAAACCTGATGGTGCAGTGGTTTTGCACCCGCACTACGTTAGTTCTCTCCAAAATGTTAACATTATGTTGATGTTCTGTGGCTGAAAACGCGCGAAACTCGTTAGAAGTTGAGAAGAAGGTAATGGTAATATGTTATTTTTGTCAAATAATATGGTCAGTACTTCATCGTTTCCCAGAAAACAAAATTGTTGTTTTTGTGTTGAAAATTTCATCAGCTGTTTGAGGGTATTTCACCATAAGATTATCAATCTCATGAAGTGATCGACACATTGGGTTGAGATGATCTGTTGAGTCTGTCTTAACCCACATCAGGTTTTTGATAAGTTCATGCAGATACCATCAAATGTATAGCAGTGAAAACAGATAATTATAAGATGAAGGATGGCGAAATAGCGCAGTGGTTGAGGCGCTCGACTAGTACATAGAACATCGAAAAGTCGCTAGGTTCGAATCCCTGGCAGAGCAGAGTTTTTATTTATAAAACGAGAGAAATTATAATTTTCGTTGCCTCGGTGAGTCCGCACAATTCGCTGTTGCGTTCCAATTAGAAGGTTCTGCCACGTTCTGCTCCTAGTGGCGTATGGGATTAACAAAGCCCACATAGAACACACATATGGGCTGAAGGACCTGCTCTCGTAAGGTCGATGGCCAATTGGTATTTATACATGCATATACATGCTAATGAAGTATATATTATACTACTACTATAGGAAAAAGTCCCTATCTCTCTAATCTCTAATAGGGTGTTCTTGTATTTCTTTCTGCTGGCAACATGAATCCTGATATTTCATTACATAACTCTTGTGCTGCATCTTTTGCTGAATATTATAGGTACATCTGATGAATTTGCACATCTGGTAAGTAACTCAAATGGATTACTCATATCCCTGAGTATTCTGAGTTGCTGTCTATATGTTGTTGTCTGAAATGTTATTGCTGATATTACATGATATAACAGTAATCATTCCACATTCACCACTCTCTGCCACTTTCTATATTATTTTTAATGTCTCCTTCACGTAACGATAAAAATATGCCTCCGAAGACACCTCAGCTTACGTCGTCCTCAAACGATAAGTGTTGTCGTACAGGTACGAAAATCGTTAGCTACAGAATAACAATTATCGTTCCGTAACGATTATCGTTCGCTAACGATGTCGTTAAGCGTTACAGAATTGCCCCTCTTATAAGGTAATATGAGGAAGGACAATTTCTCTTCTGCATGAAAAAAAAGATACTTTCAACCTAACTCCACCGAAATTAATCTTTTTCCTAAAAAGTATATTTTTGAAAAATTGATTGAGTGAAAAAAAATGACTCCTCGCAGAGATTGAACCACAGTCACTACTATGAAAGTCAGATACACACACCAATAAGCTATCGCTTTACTCGTAGTAGTTCTAGTTTCCCAATATAAAGAAGGAATATATATCAAGTGTTGTGGGTGACGTCACTTGACCTCTATGTTTGAAGATTAGCTGGTCTAGCCTGTGGTCTAGCTAGACCACAGTTGTTTACTCACCTATTTATCATATATCTACTACTCAAATATGAAGCATAACTGTCTTCAAAGCGGGACCAACTTCTGTATCGACCAATAGGCGTACTCATATAGGAAGCATAGCTCTCCTTAAAGCGGGACCAACTTCTGTCTCTATAGGTGAAAAAATCGACCAAAAGGCGTTGATGCCGACGTAGGGAAAAAATAATACGAAACTCGTCAAACCAACACGGCTGTTTCCATCCTTTGCTTTCCGTTCTTATAGATTCAAAATTTACCTCATTTTGGTCCCATTTTTGTTGAGATATCGTATAGGCGATGCGATATATAGAAATAGTAGATATATGATTATGGCTGTTTCCATCCTTCACTGTCCGTCCTTATAGATTCAAAAAGTGAGTTTTGGTCCCATTTTCGTTGAGATATCGTATAGGCGGTGCGCCATATATAGAAATAGTAGATATATGCTATTTTTAAATCAAGTGGGCACTTCGAAAAGAGGAAGAGTGCAATCTGAATTTCAAAATGCGATATTTGATGTGTGCATTCCGACTCATTTATCACCTGCCCAAGACCAGCTGTGGAGATGCTACACTGGTGAGAAAATGCACTTTTCAAAAGGATGCTCAAATATGGTTTATATCAAGAGACTCAAGTTTATACATAATTTATACAATGACGGCTAAATATCTAGACTGTCTGACGCGTCTTTGGTTCAAATTACACGAAGTGTACGAACCTGCTAAACTTTTCGTTCAAAAGAAAGGGCCTTGTATGAAGTGAAGGCGACTGGAAGTAATTAGTGACAGTGACAGGTGACAGCACTGACAGCTGTTGACTGGAATTTCAAGAAAAAAAAGTTCGGTCTTCGGTCGTTTTTGTCACTGGACAATCTTATCTTCCTTTATAGTATTGTATATGAATATCCAGTTAAAAAGGTAGAATTTTATCGTTATTTATGTGCAATAAGGGTGGATTCAAGTCGTGCTGAGAGTTCCTGGCCTAAATAATAGTGCCGGCGTCACCATGTCGGACGAGAGTCATCCAAAAACACTGTATGTAGGCAATTTGGATCTGTCAGTATCTGAAGACCTGTTGTGTACCTTATTCTCTCAAATTGGTCCTGTTAAAGGTTGTAAAATCATTAGGGAACCAGGAAATGATCCATATGCTTTTGTTGAGTTCACAAATCATCAGTCAGCATCCACAGCTCTGGCTGCCATGAACAAAAGGTTGTTTTTAGATAAAGAAATGAAAGTTAATTGGGCGACTAGTCCTGGTAATCAACCTAAGCAAGATACATCAAACCACCATCACATTTTTGTTGGTGATCTATCTCCTGAAATAGAGACTGAAACATTGAGAGAGGCCTTTGCTCCTTTTGGTGAAATTTCAAATTGCAGAATTGTGAGGGATCCACAAACTCTCAAATCCAAAGGCTATGCTTTTGTATCATTTGTCAAGAAAGCAGAGGCTGAAAATGCTATACAGGCAATGAATGGACAGTGGCTAGGTTCACGATCTATCAGGACCAACTGGTCCACTAGGAAACCACCACCACCAAGAACAGAGAAGCCAGTTCAACGTGTGAAGCAACCTACTTTTGATGAAGTATACAATCAAACCTCACCAACCAATACAACAGTATACTGTGGTGGTTTCACAAATGGACTACCAGATGAATTAGTTCATAAAACATTTGCTCCTTATGGGGCAATCCAAGATATTCGTGTTTTTAAGGATAAGGGATATGCATTCATCAAGTTTGTGACTAAGGAAAGTGCAACACATGCAATTGAGAATGTACACAATACTGAGATAAATGGCCAAACTGTTAAATGCTTCTGGGGTAAAGAAAATGGAGGATTGGGTCCAGATTCCACTGCTATGCCTCCTGGTGCTGGAGTACCCCAAAATGCTGGAACCCCATATCCTTATGGGTATGGACAATACTGGTACCCTCAGGGTTATAGTGGAGGAGGATACATGCAAGGATATCAACCAGCTTACCAGCAGTACCAACAATATCCTGGTGCCGGACAACAATATTGTGTGATGCCACAACAAGGTCAGTGGACTGGACAACCAGTTCAACAACCGAATGTACCTGTAATGTATGGTAATGTTCAGAAATATCATTCTCAATGAACTAATCAACTGTCAAGTTATCATTTGGGTGTTGTGCTGCAATACTGAATTGTATCAACTGAAAATACAGCATAATTTGTAGCATATTATTGAGTTAAAGGACAATTATGTAATAAATTACATAGGTATGTGTAGATTTTTAAATGCCATTACACACTTTGACCTATAGGATAGTCTGGTTCTGCAGTTTTTCTTTGGTTGATGTATATAGGTATATAATTATTTCTTCTACAATAATTATTATCCAGACAATTATTATAGTCCTATCTTCTTCCCAGTAATAAGTAGCAAGTAGAATATTGACTAAATCTAATGATACATGATTCCATGAAGAGTGAGCATTTTCAGCTGAGAGCTTGTTGCTAGAGTTCTTCCACTCAAGATTGTTATGCTGAAAACAATTCCATATGAGGCTTCTGTACCTTTTCAACCTCAATTTCCTAATGGTGAGTTTATTTATTTCCCAAATTGGTGAAATTAATATCAGAAAATTGAATATACATGATTTTGTATGAATATATATGATTATTTGTCTGTCAAGACATTGGTATTTTTATATCACTGAGAATGAGAAATATGATATCTTTATCTGTCCAAAGAACTATCTCTTATAGCATAATTAAAAATTTCCAAATTTTCTCAATGTTTATCAGAATGTTCACAATATTTCAGCATTATGAAATACCAATTTGGAAATAATTATGAAAGTTTGTTAAATTCCAAAATTTGGTTCAGCTTACTTAAAACTCAACTTTGGAAGACTTATTCAGCAAGATTTCATACCATTTCTCTCAGTAACATATTGATATGTTGACATTTCAAAATCAGAAGTATGTTATTGTGTATTTTGTATGAAAGGATATTAAAGCTCAATAATTAATTGATCATAATATGATGCCAACACAATGATATCAAATACCAATTATTACATTCTCTTGCAGAAACACTTAGTAGATTAAATTTGACACTTTAAAAACTGTTCTTGTTCTTGTTGCTATTATCAACTGCAGTTGCAGGATTATTAAGCTAAATTTCAAAAATAATAAACTATATCATAATAGATACTGAAATTTCAGAAAAGACCTCAGAAAGAAACATTTTGAATACCTACCTACCTTAGGGTATAATATATAACACGATTTTTTATGCAATTGACTATTTCAATCATCACATAATCAGACCAATCACAAGCCAGAGACAACTTGTGTTATTGAGAAAACACTAGCTGTCTTTCAATTCTGATTGGTCTATTAGCCTTGGTGTTTTCACTGATTATGGATAGCAGTAGTTATCATAATAAATTGCTCATTTATAATAAATGCTTTTTATGCTTCCTGAACGTGAAATGGTCTAGGAAAATATCACTCTGTTCTGGATATTGTCTCATAAATATGTATTCCATTGTTGATACATCATATACAGGGTGTCTCAAAATTACATAGAAAGATTTCAACCACAGATTCTCGGAACAAAAATGGTACAAAAAAGTTCATATAAACATGGGTCCAGAAATGCCTCCCTGGGGGGTCATAGCCATCTGAAGGAGAGCCTGAGATGATGTTTTTTTTGGAAATATTTTCGGAACCCTCTGTGATAAAATAACCAAATTTTGTACACATACCTACCTTACTTTTTATGCTAATTTTGAAAAATGTTAAGCATTTTTCAATATTTTGATCAGAAGCGTGGGATATAGGTGGGGCTAGGGGTACACTTTTCCCCCCAACTTCTTTGTTAATGCAATTTTCGGTGATTTGACAAGCAAACATAAAAATATAATTTTTACTCAAAAATGTTACTTTAGAATAATTATCCCGAAAATGGTGAGTGCTATCCTAGCAAAGATAGTACATTTACAATTAGGGTACCTACCATATTATTTTTCAATATATTATTTTTATTGCACCCTCTATATTTTGAATCAAACATCAAGAGTAGATGTTGAAAGAGGGGGTATTTTTCATCAAACCAAAATTTTGAGAAAATTCTGTACCCTATTAGGAAAAAAGCACTATTTTTATTTGGCAGCACAAATTTTAAATTGATTTATCTGGAAAACGGTTGCTTTGGAAACTAAACAAGAGTACCATATTCAGAAAAAAATTGGGAGAAGAGGTGCTCCCAGCCCCACCTAAATTCCACGTCCCTGATCAAAATTTCTGGGAATCAACATTTTCAAATAAGGCATAAAAATTAGGTATATGTACAAAATTTGGTTATTTTATCACAGAGGGTTTCCACAATATTTACAAAAAACCATCAACTCCAGATCCCCTTCAGCTGGCTATAACCCCCAGGGGGCTCTTCCTGGACCCATGTTGATGTGAAGTTTTTTCACTACTTTTGTTCCTAGAATCCGTGGTTGAAATATTTCTATGTAATTTCGGGACACCCTGTATATATTCAGAACATCGTGACATTTCTTATGAAAATATTCCATTAATTTATACTTTCACTCAGGCTTTAACTTATCTACCATATCTACCATTTCTCAAAATTCTCAATTGTAAAATGTAGCTTTCAGTTTTTTCCAACCCTGGTGTGCGCCAAAAAGGACTTACAGTAGCTCCTAATACGGTGTGAGAAAATATGGCTGTATCATATGTCCTAATTCATTTCAGGACTTGATATAAGAAGGTAGGTAGCTCTTTTATTATTATTATTTATATTAAATTATATTTGACTACCTGAAATTGATTTTTGTCAATTTTGAAATTTTTGAATCACCTTAAAAATTTAAATTATCAAGTGGTTTCGGGCGTGTCTTTAAAGCTCAGTAGATAAAAGTTATTTATACAGCAAGGTGTATAATACATTTTTTTCACCACTAGCAATACATTTCAATTATTTTAGTTCCGTGAAACTGAAATATGGAGCTATTGCCACTATGAAAGCACTCCTTTTCAATTCAAACTAAAATCTATAGATTCAAGTGCCATTCATGCAAATCTCACATCAGAACAGTGAATTCAGGTTGAAACAGAGGTGGCTATGTTTTTATTGACTAGTGGTTCATAAAATGTCAAAAACTACCTTGGTACTAAAAACACACTTTATGCCTCGAAAAGGAGGAAATAATGGTAGGTTTTATAGCTAGTCTTGAAAAAAATGTTTTCTATCCCTGGTATATTGCTTCATATAAGTACCTACTTATGGAATTGGGATTTCTGATATCTACCTAAATGAAGATCCGGAATACTCGGAAATACCCCTTTTGTTATAACTCCTACCACTGAAATTATTATTGGCAAATGATATTTAAATGAGGTGATTCAATCAATTCAAAATGATAAACTTTATTTCTTGTCAAACCAGAAGTTTAAATTAAAAACATACACATATATCATAGTGGTATTCAGGATCATACACTATGGTATTTCATGATATATTTACCAGGGCCCCTATCAGGGAATTCATTCATCAAAAGTTTTCATTAGGTACCTCCTCTTTTAGTTAGTTATTTGGACAATGTCCAAGAAAACCTTAATGAAGATATTATGGGGGGGATCAACCTTCTGTTGTGACAATAAAACATTTGACATAATCCTTTAAATATTTCAAAAATGTAGTAGTAACATTCTAATAGCAAAATGTAACATTTTTGTCCTTATACCTGTTCAGGAAACATTTGAATTTCTGACTCACATATATCATGCACCAATTTATATTCTTCTAAAAATAAGAGGAAGAATAATAATGAATGTACAGGGTGTCTTATTCATATACATATAATATGGAAATTAGGATAATTCAAAAGTACCATTGCAGTTATTTTTAAACAGAGTACTTGGATGTGTGGTCGAATTTTTCAGTGCAATTACTAGCATAGATACCCTATAAGGCAATCAATTTGGGACAGCCTGCACATTATTGAACCAAAAACATGATCCAAAGAGTTCACAAGGTTCTTCTACTCAAATGCCATTACATGAAGTGTTTTCTGTTTATTTATCTGATTATAAGTATATTCTTTATTATTATATATCTGAAGGAGCAATTCTTATCTTTGAAAATTATCTAAAGATTAATATGTATATTATTCAAGAAAGTAGTTGTTTATTGGTAGGTAGGTATGTTGAATATATTGTTTCAAATACAAATATTCATATCAATTGAAATAGGTAGGTAGAACACAAATATTAAAACTGCATTGGTTTCGTCATATAGTGGGACATTATTATTGAATATGGACATAAGTAATTGGTGATGTACGATGTTCAGTTCCAATTGTATGTATATATAGTGCTGGATATTTACATTTTTTCATGTTTTTCAAGAGGTTTTCTCCATGCTGGAATATTGCAAATACTTATTTATAGTACTCTGAAAATGCATCATGAACTATTGAAACGGGAAGAATCTCACTACACAAAACAGTTTAACTTAATTTTGACAAATATGAAAACTTCTCAGTTATATCAAAATATCAATGTCTCACCGCACAAGAAACCTTGCTTGTAGGTGTATACACTGTGCCCTAGGGCCGGTATGGACATCTCGGAAACTATGAGAGATACAGATTTGGTTGAATGGTAAAAAAGTTGCGAGTGAAGCACCAACAAAATTACTTTAAATAATCTCTGATATGACTTTTCGTTCTCAAGTTATTCCCAAAAAACTGAATTTCAGGATTTTCAATTTTATTTTTTTCTGGCGTTAATAATAAAGTTATGACGAAATTGAAAAACATCTCCATGGCAACTATTGAGGCTATTCAATTTGTCATCATCGATTTTCAGAACCAACGTTTTGTCTATGAGCAACCATCATGCATCTACTCAATTCTTTCAAATACGGCCCTGATATTTTGATATCACATTTTAATAGCCCTTTCCATTCCGATTTCGACGATATAAGTACTACAAATTGTGGGTTGGTTGCGGTTCGAGCACATTTTGGTCATCATCAGGTAATTTTTGGAATACTGACCTGAATTTTTATAATTCTGTGAAAAAAGGTTCATTCAATGAT